ATACCTTTGAAAATAATTTATGGCAAGTTCATCTCCCCAGCTGAGCTTTCAAAAATTGTTTTGCCATTGGATTCAGAGTAGTGTAGATAACACTGCACAAACTTTAAATAAGTAAGGATTGACAATATGAAAACAGAATAGTACAGTTCTTTATTTTAGAGATTTTCTAATCTTGGGTTTTTATTGTGATGACCCATTACAATTGAATTCTCTAAGAAAAAGAAAATCTGAGATATTTCATATTTTCTCTACTCTATTTTCCCCTATTATTAATAATTTTTTTTTTTTTAAATTTGCTCATTAAAGTAAATTCTATTTATTCAGAAAGGCCACTTGTTTAAATCTGTGGTGTCTTGTAGGACTAAGCTGTTGAATTTTAACACAGGAAGAAGGAAGCCACCTGCTGCTGAGAAATAGAAAATAGAGTTCTGCTGCAAAGGCTGTATAGCAGGGGCAGCCTTTAGTTAGAGATAAATGTACAGGGAGAAAATCCATATTTAAATGCATTTGGAATTGAATTTGTTACCCCTGTGCTATAGGAACACTGGGTTTGATGTGCTCTTCAAGCACTGAACTGCACTCAGACCTTAACCTTTAACAAACAGGAAGGATGTTTAGGGACCTTTAGTTCTGAATTTATATTTTCCTCCCTTTCTCTTTAACTGTGCACTCCAGAAATGTCACACACATTTAAATTACTAGTGAGGAGTTTCTGTAATCCCAAAAAGCCAAGAATTAATCTGCCTTTACTATGAAAGTGCTGCAAAACTTCAAGAGTTGGAAATGCGAGTGGAGATTGTAAAATATATCAGTATATATATAGTTTTCACAGACAGTGATATATATAGATACTGCTTAGAGATCCTCAAATTCTCAATTTCTTGCATATTTTTATAAATGTATGAAGTAAGAAACCTTTGTAGAAATTCCCCAAATGCTCAAATAGGCAGATTAGAGAAGTCAGATGCAATAATCCCAAACCTGCTCATTTCTTTCAAGTTCTGCTGGCCATATGCTTTCTGCCCAGCAAGTTCTGGTCATCTCCTGAGTTTTCCAAACTAACTCACAAGTTATTCTATTCCTTGCCTACATGGTGATCAAAAACCCTCTGTGTGTCAGCTGGGTAGGAATTAGCATCTGCCATCTGTCCTCAGTGGGATCCTTATCAGCACATGGGGGAAAGAATTCCTGTGTATGCTTTGGCAAATACAATAGGATTTCATTCCTTTTTAGCAGTTCTTGGGAGCAGGAGAACCCAAAAGGTATCAGGATTGTGGAAAAGAGAGCTCAAGATAATCAGTCAATAGAGAGGAGAATATGTTTTTAATGTTTAGGTTGTCTCTTTTGTTAAAACACTAAATGAAAAATTTATCTTGGCAAATTATCAGAACAGTCCTGCCATAAAATAATTCTCTGCAAATTGTTTCCTGTTATTTCCCATGTTGCTATTCTGATACATTTATAAATTTCTCCATCACTTTGGCATAGATATTCAAAAACTTATTTCCCCAAGTGTTTTTTTAAACCTAGGTAATTTTTTACATGTCTATCAAAAATGATGGAAATTTGAAAAAAATAGAATCCCTTTCTGCAGACAAACTCTTTAGTTTGCAAGGCCATGCAAGTGTAAGAATATTTGAAGGAGGACTTGAGTTATTAAGTGACATAAGAGAATAGGAGAAAATTGCAGGGAGGGAAGAACTGAAGTTTCAAAACAGCCTGAAGAGGAAGGAGATGAATTTTTAGACAAAGAGCACTGTGAAAGTATTGTGTTGTATGCAGGAAATTACTTCCTTGTGTCTTGCTATTGTTATTATCTCATTCTTATAGTGACAAAAAATAATCTTTTAGTATCATAATTAATAAATAGGTTCAAAGGTACACCTGCCATCAGTTCTCTGTGCAATCAGAGTGATTTACTGGATTGTAAATTTTGTCTATCTGTGAAAGAGCTGAGGGGTTTACAGATTCCAGGTTACCTTTTTCTCTGTAAATAAGATAATTTATGGAATATTAATAGAAATTAAAAATCAAGATGCTTTTCCTCAAAGCTCTTTTGGGTCTCTGACTGGATTATGTATTTAAGAGAGAAAACCAGGTTCAATCTGTAGTGGTTGGTACCTGATTTGCTTTTTATTCTCAATGTGAGGCAGAGCTGTGTGCTGGCCCGTGTTGCCTTTTGCATGGAATTGGTGTTTTAGAACATTGTAAACCATTGGGAAGCAGGCAGCACAATAAGATCTTTTCTGAATTTGCATTTCCAGAATTTCATAGCTTACAGTTTTTTTTAGAATACATGTTCTAGGAGCATGGGGGCTGTCACATTGCAGTGTGAGCAAACATTGCTTATAAAGGTGCTACCACTTTTTACTAGAAATACTATTTTGGGAGTTCCCAGAACTGAAGAACAAAAAGCAGAAAGTTCTACAATACCAAGTTTCTGCAATGTGAAAAATTAATTATTTCTACAACAGCACGTCTGGCTAAGCTGCCATGGCAACAATTGCACAAGACACACTCCCTGAACAAATTTCCCCTCAAACTCAAGCTGCATTTGGGAGGTGTTTGCTGCAGAACCACACTTTCTGAAAATGAGTGTTGCAGCTCCAGCTGCAGCAGTGTGGATCCTTTCTGCAATCAGACATTCTCTGCAGCTCAGGATTGTTATTGAGCGCTCACATTCCCATGGACATCCTATTCCATCCTGAGGAAGTGGTGGTTGAAAGAAGGAAAAGGCAGTTTGGGAGATAATTTCTGCTCCTGCCACAGCCCTGTTTTCTGTTTACTCGCAGGGAACAACATAAAATGCAGCCAGATCATTTTCTCAGCTCTCATCCTGACACTGTGGTAGTTAGCAAATGGGTTCCAGTCATCCTCAGTATTATGTAATTGAATGGTAATCTTAAAATATCACACTTTTTACTGGAAATGTACAAACACAAAAAGGGAATTTGTTATTTTGTGTGAAACTTCACTGTCTTCTATCAGAAATTTGCTACTTTTTGTGCTCTTGGTACTTTTGACACTATCTGGGCCTGTGCCTAAATAAAGCTCAGGTGGGTTTGGATTCAAGGGCTGGGTTTTGGATTATTTTTAATTTTTAACTGAAGGGGTCCCTCTGCTGGTTCCTTCCAAAATTCCATTCCACAGGTTTGAAGGGTTACCCTTGTTACTCTTGAAATACAAATGCACCATTAAAGTAACATAAAGCATTTTTATAATGAAAATAAGAAAACATAACGCGGTGGATACAGCTGTCTTCAGATGATTTGAGAAATTAGTTGTACAAAGGCATTTGCAAGAAAAAAAAATATATTTTCCTAAAGATATTTTAATGATACATAAAATACACCATAACTATATTTGAATAACCTATCACTGGGCAGGCCATTCCAGAAGTTTATTACTTTCTCTGTGAAAAAATCTTTTCCTTATATCCAACCTGTATTTCCCTAGAGACTGTATCCACAATTCCACCCTCCTGCACTGCTGGAATGCTCCCAGCAAGCAGATTCGGCTCAGAGCAGAAATGGGACCAGCTCAGAGCATTTTGGGGTTCAGGCTCTGGTATGGCCTCACTGCCTGTGAGATTCTCCTGAACCAGCCCACAGACATTTCCACCATCCTGTACCACTGAATTAATAAGGGAAAGAAAATTCCTCAAGTTTATTCTCTCCTCCAGTTTATTCCTCAAGTTTATTCTCTCATCCTTCTGCCTGCTGCTAAGGCATTGTTTTGAGTTAAAATTTGGGATTTAGTAGTGAGTTTTGTCTGTGGGCCTTCAGGAAGGGAATTTAGTTTTCCCAGAGTCCAGAAAAAAGCTCTGAAATCTTCGAGGGTAATGTTAGACCCTTTAATTTAGTCACTTCTGGAGCCAAGGTCAGGTAGCAGAGGCATCTAAGGGGTTGGGGATACAAAAATTGTGTTTTTAGAGACTCACGATTCTCATTAGAATATGCGAGGCAGGTAATTCCATAAGGATTGGCAAAGAGTGACTGACAAACTCCACTGTGTGGGTTGCCTTTGATGCAATGATTCTTGTCCAATTAACTGAATTTCGAGGGGCCTCTCTGAAGCCTCAATACAATGAGGAGCTCGTTTAGCTTCAAGCATGTTCTTAAGTCCCTCCAGTGTTTGTGTAGGTCACAGTGCTGCTTTCAATCAGAGTTTCAGCATCCAATTTCAGACTTGAGTATTATGTAAAATATAAAAACAGCCTGATGCATGCATTGAAATGCCACATGCATTACAATCCCAGGCTTTTGTCACCTCTTAATGAAGCTGGGCACTCAAGGCAAACTCCTTCCATTATCCAAACCCACTACTGCTCTCCCTGCCTTGGTAATCTGTTCCTGACAAAAGATAAACAAACTCTGACCCAGAGAGTTAAATAGGTTTATATGTCTGAATCAATACTCCTAAGTATAATATTGGCATTTAGATTTAGAAAGTAATTCATAGTAAGTTTAGACTTGAGCTTTAAGTACTCTGTAATGAGTTGGCATTTATATGCTGCTCTTGTAATTGAAAGTAGTGACATTTTGTTTTCTTCAAGCACATTTATACTACCCAGGTGGAATTGATAGCTGTCATTTCCACAAGGACAAAATGATTGAGCAGACAAAAAAATGTGGCAGAAAAGTTGTTTGAGCAGATTCAAAGCTGTATTTTTGCGTAAGTTATAATAGGAATAAAATTGCTAAGGATCAACTACTTCTGAAGTCCAAAGTCAAATGTGGTCTCTCATTTGGTAGCTGCTTTGTAATGGGAGCTGGAGTTGTGAAAGAAGCATCTGAAATCACAGAATGCTTTGTTGGCACAAGGATATTGTGTGTGATATTACTGGATTGCAGTTATGGGAGGGACTTGATAAAGGAACTTTTGCAAATTCTGCTCCACAGTTAATGTTTTATTGTCACAGAAGTGCAGGAGCTGTTGGAGGAACTGCAGAGCATAACAAAGAAGAAAAATTAGAATTTTTTTCTTTTTTTTTTCCCCAGACTGCCCAAGTTCAGAGAGTTTCCGAAGAGGATTTAGGCTCAGAACTGATTTTGTCAATTATTCACAGGTATGTCCTGAGAGCTGCTGAGCTCCTCCTCAGCACAGATATTCAGCAATTTATAAAACACAGCTCCTCAGAGAAGTCATATACCTTAGTAATCAAACAGCTCAGTGCTTTTCCTTGGGTTTTTCTGTGCTTTGATTTTGTTTGGGTTTTGTGGTTTATTGGGTTGTTGTTTTTTTTTTTTCCATTTCAAATTAGGCAAGACAATTTCATCACGGAAAATACAATTCAATACAAAGCATGCAACTATGTAGTGTGAGGAAATGAGCAGCTGACAGACATCGTTTGCTGTGATTGAGAGGAAACATTTATGTGCTTGTGAGAAGAGCATGTTTGCAGTCATATGTCTCAGCAGAAGGAGAGCAGTAGTGGAATTTTCCCCGGAGCAGGGGCACCGGGGCGCTCCGAGGGAAGGAGCTGTGCTGGTCCCCAGGGAAGTGAACACTTGTTTGCTTGGCCACTTCACAGCCAGGCTTGAAAGTGATATTATAGATGGTTTTTTTTGCACAGCTGAATGAGGAATTAATAAACAGCAGAGCAAACAGGTTGTATGCAAGACAGTCTCCAATATTTGTGTTTGCTCTGGTTTTGGGCACGAGCAGCCCAGGGAGGGCAGCTCCAGGCACTCTGTGAGTCGGGCCCTGGGCTGAGCTGCAGCAGCACCACAGAGACCAGTCAGGCTGTGCTGCTTTATTGAGCACTCTGAAACCCTCACTGGGTTCTTCTGATGGTGCTTCAGATGGCTGGAACAGGACAGGAATTAATTCTGCAGGAATTAACATTTTGGCACCAGGGTGATGTCCAGCAGAGCTGCTGTTTCTGCAGGACACCACGCTGGGGTCTTTGAGGTCTGCACTGCTGGGTGGGACCCTCATGTCCCACAGCATCCCAGCACCACTGCAGTGAAAAATTGCTGGATTTAGGGATTCTGGGGGAGGCACAATAGGTATTGTTTGATTTTGCTCCTCCTTGAGGAGGTGTTGAAAGGCATCTCTAGTTTTACAAACAAGACCCAAAATAATTTGATGCAAAGTCATTAAGAGGATGACTACCTTGCAGTGACCTAGACCTAACGAAAAATTATTATGGATTAATTTTAATTGTTGGAGGGGAAATTAAAAAAATGTTAAAGTTGTCAAAAATACATTGTGTCAAAAGTGACTCAAGGAAAGTATTTCCTAAGATCAGGCTATATTTTGATTACCTACCATTCAGAAAAACCATTCCCTGGATGCTTCTGGCTGAGCATTACCATAAGAATACAATGTTGGTGTGCTTGGACATGGGGATGGAGATGCTTGGATGTTGGGTGTACTGATTCAGTAAATTGGCATGCTCACAGTTCATTGTTTGCAGCCTTCCATGTTAAATCAAAAGATGGTTTTGAGGCTCCCCTCTATTCGCCTATTAAAAAAAATTAAAACCCCACACTGAATGGTTAAATCTCACAAGAGATTTAACATGAATGGTTAAATCTCTCAAGATCATGCTAAAATTTCATATCCTATGAACAAAATTCTAAGAATATAAAAATCTCCATTCTGGGAATTCATTGCCTAGACCGGGGAGGGATGAAAGATTTGCAGAAGTTCAGTGAGATTCATATGTTCATATACTTGTCCTGGTTTTGACATCTACATGTATTATCTTCTCTTGAGCATTTAAGTTTCTCATATCTGCAATATTTTGGGGAGATTTTAGGAGAGATGAAGAAATAAAAACACTCCCCGAAAACTCTGCCAGTTCTTGTCCATCTCACATTTTACCACTGGAGGGCGGTAAAATATTTTCAACTTCTTTTTCCCTTCCTTTTACTTTTTTTATTTTCCTTTTAATGTTTGAACTGCTGTTAAAACATGTATCTATTTTTAAAAATGTGATTTACACAGAACACCATCTCCGTGTTTTATAAGTTGTCATGATTTTTCCACTTTTGTTCTTAGGTGTCTTTTTCTTGCCCTTGTGTAATAGGGAATTGTTGTCATGGTAGAGGCAGGAAAAGAGCCCAGAGCTGATGATCAGAGGTTTAATAAGATTTTCATGATGGGAAGTCTTCGGTGTTGGCATGAGGGCATTGAAAGTGATGCACTGGCATGGGCAGGTGTCAGCTCCCACGACCTGACTGTAAAAATAAAAGCAAACTTTCTCCACACCGTGTTTCTGATGCTGATATTATCCCCAAATAATGTCTCTCTGTGTGAAATATCCTGTCTCTTCAACAGGAAAGAGGAATGTGCTCTGACCTTGACCCTCCCAAACTTCCTTTTCCAAAAATCTACTTTTACCTATATTTAGGTTGCTGTATATGTCTGTGCAGCCTGATTTTAACTGCCAGAGGACAGATTTGGGATTGTGTCTTTAGATAGGGGTGTTCAATTTTTCAGGTTATTACTGCAAAGGTATCCAATATGCCTTTAGATGAGCTTAATATCCCACTTTTACCTATTTTAGGTAAATACTATCATTGAAGGAAGCACACACTGTAAATTTCATGGTATTAAGATTTTACTTATACTTCAGCTGAAAAAATATGGAAGGATGACTTAACAGGTAGTTTTAGCTCCAGTAATTGCAAACTGTAAGGTAAAACTTGATTTTTCATTCCTCTTGGATCTTTTTTATTTGGATTTAATACACATTTTTCCAACAAGAGAACATGTCCACTTGAACAAATATGATGTTTCTTAAGTGGTGTGTGAAATCCTGCCCTCTGCTGAACAATATTCTGTCTGTTAGGATGAGTTTGCAATGGAGCAGTTTTGGGTGAGGATGTTCTGGTAGGGACATCTAACAAAAGGCACTGCAGCACCTGGATGCAATTCATCTGCTCTCAGATTTGGTTCTTGGGCACAGTTTTATTGCCATTTCTGTGGGGTTTGGTAGCTGGGCACAGCAGTAGAATATTCTACTGTTGTAAATTGCCTTATCCTTTTCTAACCTTCAGCTGCCAGAATTAGTTGTTTGGCTTTGCTATTTTTTGTTTGTTGACTGACCGAATTCTCTTTCTCAATGACTTCTGAATTATTTTGCAAAGCTTTTTTGACTGCTTTATCTCCCATTTCATTTCCTTTAATATCTGCACCAGCTGGAATCCATACAAAAATGACATTGTTGCCGTGACATATTACCTTATTATAGACATCAATAATTTCCAGAGCTATTCCCACTCTAGTGATTGAAATTTCTAGGATGATATCAACGGCACTTAAAAGATCTGGAGAAGTGACAGATTGTAAAGGTTGCACTCCAGCAATCTAATTCAGTGCCATCAGGGAAGGAAATAACTCCACAGTATAACCAGGTAACCAATATAACTGGTTCTTCAACTAAATCCACACAGGAGGCTGCTAAACCCTGGCCCACTGCAACATCTTGAAGGAAAATGGGGGACAAAAATAGAAAAGGGTGTGGGGGAGGAAAAAATCCACATGAATTAGAATGAAATGATTGCAGCGAAATGCTTAGTCTTAGACAAGGAAATGTCAAGGGTCTGACTCTTCCCCCACACTGCTTGCAGGGTTAATGGGATGTGGCGAGCTCAGGGTGATGGCTGCACTTACTGAATTCAAAAGTCTTTTCCAACCTTAGCAATTCCATGGCTCTACAAGTGCTCTCTCCATAATTGTTCCAAATCCAACCAAACTGATCTATGATTCATCATCTCTTCCTATTTTTTTTCAATGTGTTCTCTTTATCCTTGAACTACCAATTATTGTTTCCTTGTGAACACCAAACTCAGAGTTGCCCAGATCACTTCATTTGCCCATTTCAATATCCCTGCAAAAAGCTTCTGAATCCTCCAAGTATCTCGTTTTCCACCATCTGTGGTTCAAAACTGAATTTTTTGCACTGCAAGGAGCTTCCCAGCATGGTTGCTGCTTTAGCTGTACCTTATCTTATTTCTCCTTGTGGAGTCAGTGTTCCTGGCTTTGGCTTTTTCACTCCCACAGGGCAAGTCTCTGCCCAATAAGGAAAATGTCTGCAATGTTATACAGACATGATCATGAGACTCAGAAATTCTGAGGAATCCTTTAAATCTGAGGAATCCTACTTCCTGACCATTTATTTAATACTATTTATTCAAGCTGTTCTTAGTAGTCAACCTCTACTTAAAAAGCAATAGAAAGATAATAGAAAGGCATGTCCAAATCATGAAAACCAGCTTGCAGAGCTCAACAATTGACATATGCAAACAATTTAAGTCAAAATTTTAGGATTTAGAAAGAATTCACTTTCCCTATTTCCCAGAAGCCTCTTGATGTATTTCTAATTCTTTGTTCTTTCATTGTTCAATTACAAAACTGTATTTGATGACCTTAAGTCATTATTCAGTCATTCCTCTAAATATTTAAATTCTGCAGTAAATGTCATTTTCCCTTATTATTGGAGATATGGAGGTGATGAATTTTCAGTAGCTGGAAAGAATTCATAGATAATTTAAATTACCCACTCCTGAGCATACCTGACCTGGAAACGACTGTGTGCTTGTGCTGGAGTTCCACGGGGCAATGTTGTGTGTTCTGCAGCCCTGACAATCCATTATCTTGTCATTTTATGATATATACAGTGGAAAAGAGGCAGGTTTAAAGTAAGCCTTCACATATAGGCTGTTCCACATTAATCCCTCTCTTCCTTATAACCTAAAAGGTAATCTTTGGGTTATGTAGGAAGCCTAGGAAATACAGGAATGCTAATAATAAGTAAAAGGATATTTTATTTACAACAATAATACCATAATAGTTTATGTAATAATTTACATAATAATTTACATTATTAATAAAATTTAATAATGTTCATTACTCAGGCTGCACCTGCAGTTGACTTTTTTCTCCCTCACTCAATCCCTTTATTTGAGACAGCATTCCTGGCAAACTGTTGCACTCTTGCACGTAAAATATCCTGGAGAAATAAGAAACTTGTGTGTTGAACTTCATTTTTAAACAATGCCACAGGCCAATTGTCCCCTTTTTAAAGAGGGCATTATAGCATTTCTGTGTCTATAA